CACACACACACACACACACACACCCTCTCTCTTTCTCTCATTTCAGTCCCTGTGTATAAAATATTGTTTTCAAATTTATAAACATAGTACACACAGTCATACCTCATTATACCGCCCAACCCCCTTGTACCGTAGGCCCCGCTTACTGTCAGGTTATGCCACTGCATTTAAAGGAACGCCTGTAATATAAACCTGCTATTTGAGCCTTTACGCTGCCATCTGCCCAACTGTCAACTGTCTGAGTTGTACAATCCTTACTAAACGAACATAACTTTGCCCCGCTATATCGCCACCGAACTGATAATCAAAGGTATACCCTACACAGGACACATCATGGCACCCACTCGGTGGCGAGCTCGGCCTGTTTCTAGCGCTTGTTGCTGGCTTGTGCTGGTTATAATGAAATTGTTATTATTTTTAGGCATTGGCCATTCTTAAAAATCTTTTTTTTTATTTTTAGATTGATACCAAATTTTAAAGTCACCTGTAGAAACTTCAAACGTACTGAGCTACCTCGGCTAGCCGGCAAAATATCTAGCGTCGCCAACTGGTAACCTTAGAAGTAAAAAGTTCTATCTGACATTCTAAGGCGTTTTGAGTTACTAAGGTAGGTAAGATCTACACCTAGCCTTCTCCGACAAGGACAAAAAATCTCGGATCTGCAAGTTGCGCAAGTTAAAGATTCCTTGGTGGTCAAAAATCGATAAGAGTAGGCTTCGGCCGCCACCCGTGCAAAATTCCAAATTTCCTACCAACTGAAAATGTTTAATGTGTCCAGCGCGCTAAAAAGACCTAAAGCAATTGCTCTGTAAAACACTTACAAAAAACAACAACAACAACAACAACAACACCAACACAAACACACAGACAGGCAGACAGAGAGACAGACAGACAGACAGAGAGACAGAGAGACAGACAGACAGACAGACAGACAGACAGACAGACAGACAGACAGACAGGCAGACAGAGAGACAGACAGACAGACAGACAGAGAGACAGAGAGACAGACAGACAGACAGACAGACAGACAGACAGACAGACAGACAGACAGGCAGACAGAGAGACAGACAGACAGACAGACAGAGAGACAGAGAGACAGACAGACAGACAGA